AAAGAGTCTTTCGAAAAGTTCGGGAGGAAATATTTTAAATGCACGTCTGATCCAGTGTAGAGTACTAGTTGCCTTCTGGACTATCTTTATACAGTGTTCTGATGGCGATAGATTTGTGGTCGTCCATACACCCAGATCTCTGTGTCTTTCCACAGTTTCTAACTTCGTCCCGTCAATATAGTACTGGTGTTTGGGAGAGGCATTGCGGCCGGTGTTCACGTGCAAGACCACGCATTTGGACACGTTAAACTTCAAAAGCCATCTGTTCGACCAAGCACACAGTTTGTTGATGTTCGATTGCAACTTCTCTGCGTCATCATCGCATTTAACTTCACTCCATATTTTTATGTCATCCGCGAACATGAGAGCCTCGCAATTCACTTCGCTGATGCAGTCATTAACATAAATCAGGAAGCGTACTGGGCCTAAGACAGAACCCTGTGGGACACCACTTTCCACCTTTACCCATTCCGAGGTAGAATTACTAACGACGACTCTTTGTAGTCTGGAGGACAGAAAACTCCTGATCCACTTAAACATTCTCCCTTGAATCCCTACATCCCAGATCTTTTGTAAAAGAAGGCCTTCTTGAAGTCAAAAAATATGACATCTACTGGGAAACCTTTATCGGTAGCTCGTGTCCATTTCTCGTGCGAGTAAAGAACACTCGTTAGGCAGGAGCGCCCTGGACGAAAGCCGTGTTGGGCATCACACAATATTTTGTTCTGTTCCAGGTATTTCATCAAGTGTCTTTTGATAATACGTTCCATTATTTTACACGCGATGCAAGTAAGACTGACAGGGCGATAATTTCCGCAGTCAAGTCTTGAGCCTCCTTTATGGATCGGAGTAATGAGTGCGCACTTCCATTCTTCCGGGAGCTCGCCGTCTTCAAATGAATTTTGAAATATTGCGGATAAGGGTTTGCACAGTTCATTGGCAAGTTCACGAAGTGCTAGGGCGGGAATTCTATCTGGGCCAGGCGATTTGGCAGGTTTCAGCCGGAGTAACTCGGCCCTAACTATGGTAGATGAGAAGAGTGGTTCCTCGGTTAAGGAGGGTAGGGAGGGGATAGGACGGGGAAGGGTACTGGGAGGAGAGTTTGGTTGGCAAATGGATGGATGGGCAAATATAGCACTAGGTTCACGGGTGAAGACGGACTAAAAGAAGTCGGAAAGGAGGGACGCTTTAACATGGTCATCAATCTCCACTTTTCCATCTGCAGACCTAAGGGCAGGGATGAGCTCCTGAGTCCTTTTAGTACTTCGTATATAACCATATAGAATTTTCGGATGCTCCAACGAATTTCGGAGTATGTTCAGTTCAAACTTCTTTCGCAGCTTTGAGGCCTCACTTTTACAGACGTTTCGCTGCCGCTTATATTCCTGTAAGTGTTCTTCGGAGCCAGTTAGTCTGTAACGCCTCCGCAGGCGATTCCTTTTTCTGAAAGAGGCCTTCAAGTCCGGGTTTATCCATTTTGGGCGGTTTGTGATTTTCTTTCTTCTAAGAGGACAATTGGAATAAACGATCTCTTTCCGTAAGGAACTGAAAGTATTCCAGTTATCGTTTGCTCGACCATGCAGTTCAGTCTCCCATGATATAGCTGCCGCTTCTCTCCTCATGCGAGAATAGTCCCCTTTCCAAATGTTTCTCTCCCACCTCTCGGGTTGGACGAGTTTGGAAAACAGTGAGTACTCGAAGTAGAGCGTGATGTGGTCGCTTGACCCTAATGGCTGTCGGTCCTGCAGGTCAAACACATTTTCCTCCTCTCGGGTAAAAATAAGATCAAGGCAGTTCGACTGCTGCCCTTCCCTGACCCGTGTTCCAAAGGTAACATTCTGGCAGAGAAGTTTGTCCGTTGCCCATTGTAGTAGTTTGTGATTAAAGCTGGCTTGCGGCCCTTGTGCAGTCCACGTTAGCCAATCAATGCCAGGAGCGTTAAAATCTCCAACGATAAGGACGTCTTTCTTCTCGCTAGCTTGGTACAGTTCGGATATGAGCATGAGATCTTGGTCAGAAGTATGGTTAGGTGAACGGTACACCACCGAAAGCGTCAATGATCGGACATTCTTAGTAGATATGGTAACGCTTAGCAGTTCCACATCCCGTACCGGTCTGTGTACATCAGCCATAGAGCTTAGCTTGCAAGTGACATAAATTATGACTCCTCCTCCTCGGCTTAGTCTAT